GGTTTGAATACCAGATTGTCTTATTTAACTTCTCAGCTTGCTGTCACATCCAGCATGCATTGAAAAAATTAGCAATAGTGCGGGCAAAATTGAAAAGCATGCTATACAAATTGAAAGTGCTGAGACAAAGCATTACATGAAAGAAACAAATTATTAAAGTTTTGAGAGCAGAAATTAGAGAATTTAAACAAAAGTTGCAAACATATTATTACAGTAAGATAAATGGAATCTTAAAGCTTGAAAAAAAGGTAATGAAAAATTAAGAACTTTAAAAACATAATAAAGATATTAAGGCAAATAAAATACTGATAGCTAGTTACGAAAATGATATAATCCAGATAAAGGAGGATAACATTACTGTTGTGAATGGCTCAGTAAAGAATAAGGTTTATTCATTACAAACCCAAGTGATAATTTATGGCATGTTATTGGCAAATGTACCAACATGTAACAAACCATTTCTAATGGAGAAAATTATGCAGTATTTAGGTGTAATTTTTAATGATGTTCCCCATTGTTTTATGATTGAACAAATGACTTGTGAACTTGGCAGTATAGCAGAACTGCAAGCATCAGAATGGGCTATCATTAATTTAGACATTACTCCTGGATTTGATGCAACAACCCAAGAAGGTGTACATATTAATAGCATTCACTTATCATCAAAGAATAAATACTAAGTCATTGCTCTGGATCAATTAGCTGGAGGTACAGCTGATGAATATGAAAATCATATCTTGTTGGCCACTGGTCATGGAAATCATAAAAATGTCATGGAATTTTATTTGGTCATGGAAAAAGTCATGGAATTCTTAAATTTTCATTGAAAGTCATGGGAACTTTGGCTCTGGCTTATCATCACGTGGCGTCTATAGTTACAAATGATTATTATAGTGTTCTATTTATGAAATTGATTATTTTAATTATTTACTAAAAGCCAAGACAACTATTTAAACTTAGGGTATTTAAAATGTTTTAATACAGAATAATATAAAATTGTTTGTTACATTTTTTTTATAGGATACAACACTGATATTTTTAGTAATGAAATAGAACATTTAATGAAATATGAAAAAATGAAATATACTAATTTATTTTGTTTGTTAAAGATACAATTATTTTTAAGAATTCAACATCTTTTTATTTTAGGATGTGGGTAACCAATACCACCCTATTCAACAAACTTCTCAACTTAACCAAAGTTTACGAATAGCAGTGAAAAGACTTTTTTTTTCAAAAGTAGGCTTGGTTGTGGTCTTCAACTTTAGCTCCTATATTATACCTGGTGCCAAAATCCTAATTCAGGTTTTAAATTGTTAATTCATTTTTAAAGTAATTAAATTGTTATTAAAAACATTTTATTTTTTTTTAGGTTTGAAGGGAGGGGGGGCACATACCTACACACTGTCAATTACAAAAGTTACACTTCATGAGAATGGTTATCTTTAAGTGGCCACACGAAGATAAACCTTTTTTTGAAAAATTCTACATAGAGTTAAACCTGCTGTTCGTTTTTGCAGTAACAGTTTTTAATAGAAATGTTCATATCAGAGTTTAGCATTTATTTTCTTATACTTTCTTGTAAAAAAAATCTTTTATTAAATGATTATATTACAAAATAATATCACATCTTACATATAAAGGCAGAAATGTTAATATTAATGCACGTAAAGAAATTTTCACATGCTTTAAAGTAGAAAGTATGCTAAAAAAGTATTAACTGCCTTTAGTTAAACATACAGCGTAAACTTATTGCTGCCATTTTTATTGTTGACAACGAAGAAAAAATAGCGTGAAAGAAAGTAATTGGAAATCAAAACAGCGTTTCGTTATAACGAAAAAATTCGCTTCGCGCGAATAATTCGTCTTGTGGAAAACGGCCTTAAGTCCAAAATTTGCGTAAAATTTGCGTAAGTTTCGCATAAGTTCAAAGTTACGCTATTACGCAAAGTCATATTAACAAATCTTCCATAATAAGCAAAAACTTACGAAATTCTTAAGTTTTTACGTGAGTTATTACTTACGCAAAAAGTTTAAAAAACGGTATTCACAACATTTTCCTAAAAAGTACTCAGCAAACTTTACGCAAAAAAAGTTACGTCTGCTATTTTCTGACTTTTGAAAAAGTCGATTTCCACAAGACGAAATATTTGCGCGAAGCGAATTTTTTTGCTATTACCATACAAGTATAAAACAGATGGAAGTTCAACCGCATTGAAATTCTTCGGGACTATGCATGTAACCTTTTGTTTCGTAAACCATAAGAAAACGACATCAAGACTGTACTTAAACGCTTAATCTTTATACGTTGATGCGAATAAATACACGTTTATAATAGTTTAAAAATATAGTTTTGAAGGTTCGCCAATAATATTTTTAAAAAAACATTAAAAATGGCGCAACGTAACGGCAAACAACAATTTTTATATAAACTTCATGTTAAATGAATGGAGTACTACAAGAATGAATGGAGTTATGATATACATCTAATAAAACTTTAAACTTAAGTTATTTAAAATACAATTTTTTTGATTTTTTAAAAATTGTTTTAGTTGTCTTTTTTATCAAATGTCGTGTTATGACTTGAAGCAAGAAAAGAAGCTTAAACTTACATATGCTTTTAAAATCAAGTGGTTCTATTTAATTACCGAGATTTAATAAACCTTTTGTTGAATAATTGCAATTAGTCATGGTTAAAAATTTGCAGCATATCCCTAGAATAATTCATTTTTTAATGTTTTAATAAAAATTATTTAAGTGAATTTTGTTGTTTTTTTATCCAGTGAAACTTGTTTTTTTTTAATTGTCGGTTACAAGCTTACCCGAAGTCCCGAGACGACTTTGATGTTTGCGGCTCGATGAACTTCCATCTGTTTTATACTTCCATGCTATTACGAAACGCTGTTTTGATTTCCACTTTTTCGCGCTACTTTTTTTTCGTTGTCAACAATCAATCAATCAATATATTTTTCTCAAAAATAGATACCGTTTACAATATAATATAAATATTACAACTATACTATTGTGAAGGGACAGTGCAAATAGTACACGACTAATTCAAAGCAGAGACCTTATAAAACAAAAACAAACAAACAAAAAAAAAACGAAAAGATTGTAAATATTAAATAAAAAAAAATAAAAAAAATAAAAAATAATAATAATAATATTAATAACAATAATAATATTAATAACAATAATAATAATAATACAGCAGACACAATAACCAAGAAACAAAAATTAAAGTTATTTATATATAATAAAAGTACTAAAACTAATAAAAACAAGTACGTAATAATACTGACAATAGATAATAATAAAAATAATAGTAACTGATTAAAGTAATTAAATAATAAAGGTTAATAATATGAATAATGGTAGAAGGAAAGAAGTGTTATTGAGTAAAAAGAAAAATTATTGGATTAGAGTTTAAGATAATAGAATAAAAGAACTAATACTAACTATTTAATATAAATACCAATAAACATAATAATAAATACTAAATAGGGAAATATTATTTAAATCTAGTATAAACATTGAGTATGGTAACTATGGTAATAGTACTCTTTTATTTTTATACATAGCTGTCAAGATAGCTTTGTTTAATTTTACTTAAAAAGGCAGATCTCGAATTCGAGTTTTCAGTTTTTATGGAGTGGGGGAGATTGTTCCACTCATTAGTGCATTAATGCTTTTTAGAGTTTTTGCCATATATTATTGTTCGGCTATGTTCAACAAATATGTTTCTGCATGATGAGGATCTAAGGAGATAGAAGTGTTTGGAACTGGTTTAGGAGAAGAAAGAAGTGAAAGCAATTGGGAGTCTACCATGTAAGTAATCCCATACAAAGGTACGATTCATAAGTTTGATGTTGTCATGAAGTTTTAAAACCTGTGATTTATATAACAAAGAGACATTTATATAACAAAGAGACATTGTTGAAATGGTTTTTCTGAAAGTGGATGATTTTAATGGCTTTATTTTAAAGTGAGGAAATAATTTTTAAGGATTGATTTTTAGTTTGTCTCCAGATCTGGCAAGCATATTGTATGTGAGATCCAAATATGGCGTGATAAATACTGGTTATAGTTTCTAAATTGACAAAGTGCTTTACTTTCGCTAACATACCAATAGATCGACTCAATTTTGACTGTAAATAAGAGTGGTGGTATTTAAAAGAAAGGCAATAAAAATGGCAGCAATAAGTTATTACTTTTTTAGCATACTTTCTACTTTAAAGCATGCAAAAATTTCTTTTCGTGCATTAATATTAATATTTCTGTCTTTATATGTAAGATATGATATCATTTTGTAATCTAGTCATTTAATTAAGGTTTTTTTACAAAGTATGAGAAAATAAATGCTAAACTCTGATAATATCAGAGTTTAGCATTTATTTTCTCATACTTTGTAAAAAAAATGTTCATATCAGTGATATGAACATTTCTATTAAAAAACTGTTAATTCAAGAATGAACAGCAGGTTTAACTCTATGTAGGGTTTTTCACTAAAAAGGTTTATCTTCGTGTGGCCACTTAGATAAACAAAAGATAAACATTCTTATGAAGTGTAACTTTTGTAATTGACAGTGTGAAAATTTACATTTGTAAATTATCGATTTAGTTTTATATAAAAGTCTGGTCATTTTTTTATATAAGTCTTGCTCCTTGTTTGATGAATTTACTCATGCTTGCCATTTTTCAGAATAAGTTCATATAAAATTAATAAAAACGCCAAGTTAAGAATTTTGTTTTTTTATTACTATAAAGACAACATGTTTTCGTTTTTTTTACTGTTGACAACACGTGATATAATATTCAAAACTTGATTAGTTTTCGCTGATGGTAAAAAAAAACAAAGTACAAACTTATACTTCATACTATATATCTTCAAGACCGGCGCGATAGGGGTGTGTGGGGGTGTTACACCCCCCATCAATGATTTTTAGTCGGCAAATTGGACCCTTAGTCGGCAAATTGGACCCTTTTAGACTAGTTAGTCGGCAAATGTCGACCCTTTCGATATAGGTTAGTCGGTAATCTAGACAGTCGGCAAATGTCGTCATGGCAGTCAGCAAATTTTGGAAAACAAGAACCTTTTTTTTTTTTTTTTGTCGGCAAAATGTAATGGCACCCTCCCACACGTGACACCTACTCGCGCCGGCCCTATATATCTTATTGTAAATTTGTATATATTGATATAAATAAAATTAGTGTATGAAGTAGATAAGGCTGCCAAAACCTGTAGGTTATACAGGGAAACCTGTTGCAGCAATTTTTTTTTACTACTACTACTAATACTATTTGTTTCAAGTTTGTAGAAATACAAAAAAACACAATCTAGTTTCAACAAAGGCAAACAGCTTTAAACTAAAAATACTCCAATACATTTTTTAATTTAATTTTACGAAAAAACGGTGGACTTTAAAACGGCGCACCCCAAACTCGGTAAGCAACGAAATCTTTAACCTTTAAACAACAATTCTTTTAACTGCTGCTTATATTTTTTCAATTACATAAAATCCAGCTTTTTCCTGTCTCAAATATTTATAATCTTGTAAATAAAAGGTGAGTGGCTAAAACCTTACATGGTCGAAAATAAATATTAAATACTTAAATATGTCCACCATTTTTTAATGTTTATGCCATTTTAAATAAAATTGATATTTATGTTTCCGCACTTTCAAATTAAATTATATTTTTTCTCAATTACACTTATAAAAATTTGCGAAATAGTTATATATGGGTGGGGGGGAGGGTGTATTGTTTGAGTTTATTTTGCCTAGGGCGTCAAATACCCTAGCCCCGGCCCCAAATATCAACAACAGTCAGTACCGTACCCAGAGTCTGGGTACTGACTGTTGTTGGCTGACATACCGGTCAACCGGTATGGAAAAAGGTCTGGGACTAAGGAGTTATTCCGATCCGGTTGACTGGTATGGGCCTCCAAACTAATGCGCCAAAATAAAAAAACTTTTACAATAATTAATTTAATGTAATTAAACACCGCATAAACAATATCAAAAAAACATTTTATATATTCAAAATGAATAAAGATTTTCAATAAAGTTTAGGTAAAATATAAATCGTTGTCGATATAGATTTTCAATGCGTTCCTAGCAATCCAATCTTATAGTTGACAAACTTCAGTATAGTCTGTGTTTTGAAATTATAATTTACAACTTTTTAAGTTAATTAATTGATCCTAATATATTAATTGACAAATAAAAATATATTAGGAATTAATGAATTTGAATTTGTTTATTCGTAAATCAAAATTTTACAAGCCATTTAAAAAAAAAAAAAACCATCATAAAAGAATAAAGTTTGAATTGTAAACTTTTTAGTTAGCGTGGTTGAGGAAGGCTGTGTGGAATAACTTTTTAGTATTTGTTATCAAGATAGTATATTTTTAGAAAGTAGAATCTTGTACTTGGTTTTAATTATACTCACTTGCTTTCCCAGTGGGCACCCGACGTCAATCCGACGTCGGATTTACGTACGATTTTCATCAGCGATGTCAAAAGACCTATTCCGACGTTGTTCCGATGTCAGTAAAATGACGTCGGGCGATGTCTTTATCTCAACATCCCCTGACGTCGTTTCGATGTATTTTGACGTTGTTCCGACATCTTATAAAAGACGTCCAAAAAACGTCGCAGTACTGACATCAATCCAACGTCGATAAAAAGACGTCGGGCAACGTCATAATATTAACGTACTCCGATGTCTTTTGACGTCTTCCGACGTCAATCCATCGTCCTTAAAACGACGTCGGAACAACGTCGTAAGACATCGCTGATGAAAATTTAATCCAAACCCAACAATATGTGTGCAATTGCGCTCTTCAATAAATATGTGAACTAAGCGTGTTTTTTATTAATGGAAAGAAGTTTGAATAATGGTTGATTAAACATCATGAGGTTTTGTATGATGCACTAGCATAGTTTTTTAACTATTAACATTTTTGAGTATACTTTTTTTATAAGATATAACTATTCGTTTTAATATTTATATAATATTTAAACAAAATTATTTCTTATCAAAGAAATAATTCCCAAATAGCTACAAGTATAAATTACTAAATAAACACAGTATTTAATATGTCCCTGAGGTGTAGTGGTAAGCGCGTAGGATTTAGTTTCTAATAGGCCGAGGTTCGATTCCTGCCTGAGGTATCGTTTTTTAGTTTTCAAAAAACACGTTGGATTTACATCGGAATGCCGACGTCGCGCGATGTCAGTTTATCCGACGTCAAATAACATTTCCATTTCCAACGTAAACCCAACGTCGATCCGACGTCGAGATCCAACGTCGCTCGACGTTCGTTCGACGTCGAAATGCCCACTGGGTTATTAACGAGTTTATTGATGTTAAAACTTTGTCATGCTTCGGTGATGAAGTTAGTGTCCAATATATGCTGCAATAATTTTCTTTCTTATTTTTTTGTTTTTAATTTTTTCATTTATCTATGCACCTGCCAAATTTCATTGAAAAATTTTATGTAGCAGGCGCTCTATTTATTTTCACACCTTTGGTACTTAATTTACATTTTCCTTAATACTAGGAGAGTGGGAGACAGAGGGGTCTATTGAACAATTTATTATTTATTATTTTGATTTAGATAAAAAGCAATATTTCTATTAATATTAGTAATAAGAATAACAAATATTAGTAATATGAATTTTATGAATACTTATTACAAATATTAGTAATATAGTGCTATGATTGCCTTTTTTTAATATTAAACATTAATAACATTAACTTTAAGTTAATAACTTACACAAGTTATGTGAGTTATTAAGCCCTAATAACTTACATATTACTAAGTAAAATGTGATTTTTTTGATAAACTATAACTTTTTTTTTTTTTAATTTTATTAAACTTTAAACTTAGTGTTTATGGCAACTATGATTTATGTGATTATATTATATGATTATGTGGTACTTTTTTGAAACAATTGATTTTTTTTCAAAATCATCTACAACCTTATAATAGTATTGGGAAAATTGTTTAACCAATTAAATGTTTATAGAATGGCTGTAAATGTACCTTTACAGCTTTCATGTCGCTAGTTAGACATGTAAAATGTTACCATAATATTGATAATGATTTCATTAATAAAAATCCTGAACCAAAATATATAGTAATCCATTAAATGATAATCGTAACAATTTATAGCGTAATTTTTCAGATTATTCATTGCCTAGTTTCCCAGAGAATTCTACTTATCAAGTTTACAATTATACTGAATAAACAATAGAATATATTGATCCTTTGTTAGTTTCTTCATTGTGAACACGTAGCAATGTTCCTTATTATAATATACCTGAAGTAATTGTTTCTGTTACAATATTTCTGTACAATATTTCATAATCATTAGTTTCCTATATTGCAGCGCTTGAAATAGTTTTTCAAAGCTTGCCAATCAAATGCAATTATTTTACTAAAACAGGTTATTTTTCCTTGAATTTTTCGAAATTTCCTTAAACATTGCCAATCATTATTTTGCGGTTATTTTGAGCGGTGATATTGGTAATGCTGCTTTATCAGTTTTAAATGACATTGGGGCAGATTCCACTCTATTATTGTTTAAGAGTAAGTTTGAAAGTAGTGTTATACATTGCAATGAGCCACTCAAGTTTCTTGACACATAATATAAACAAGATAAATACTTAGAACAAAATTCTCCTTATGTAACTCCTGAAACATGCAACATGGGTCTCCCTAGATATGAAACTAATGAGCAAATTTCAAAGATAGTTTTATTTCATTGAGGAGGTATCAAGTAATATTACATTGCATGATGGCTTTAACACTTCCAAACAAAACATTTTGTTACTAGCAAGAGATTCAATGTTCAAAAATACTTTGTCAGAAGACGAATATAATGGAGGTATATATATATATATATATATATATATATATATATATATATATATATATATATATATATATATATATATATATATATATATATATATATATATATATGTCTATTACCCTAAGTGGAGAAAATGAATAAATAAGAACTTTATAGCTTAAATGTGAATTTTTACAACATAATTGTTATTCTGCATAAGTACTAAGCTGCTGCAACTATGTACCAATCTGCAAAAGTGCGACGTTTCTCTTTCTCATCTTATTTCATTTATTAGTTCCTAATGTAATATACCCTTTTAATCCAAAAGAAGGTTTTTTTATAATCTGTCTACCTATAAAAGTTTTATTTTTTATTTAGAAGATACAACTTTGCTTGCATTTAAGGCGCTCCCTTTTCTTCTGATAGCACATCCACAGAAAGGCAAGAAGAGTCCAAGAATGGACCTTGATGCAATTTTGGCTTTATTATGTAGAGAAATGGATGTAGGATTTTTCTATACATTTTTTTTAAAGTTAAATTTGTTTTATAATCAAAAAGTATTACTTTTTTGAGCTTTGTATTTTCTGCATTTTTAAAATTTTACTTAAACATTTAGGTACACCTCAGTCTTGAAAGCTCTCTTGAGTTATTGAAGAAGGAGAAAGTTTTTCAACCGATTTTATTCAAGTGTTGCGGCGCTCTATTTATTCTAATTATAACTCTGATTATAAGTCGATAATACAGCTATACGGTTGGAAGCCATACCAAGTATTAGATTTGCTTTTGAGTTACTGCTAGTCTCTTATTATGTATTTAATGTCAATTTTCCTCATGAACTTATTTGTGTAAATGGATTTATGGGAAGTTTGTTTGGAATAAACATCAAAAGAATTATCGTCAATTACTTTTAAAGAACGTTATGCCAAAAATTTAAGATTAAATTAAGCAATATGTTTGTAAAACAAAAAAGTATTTTTAACACTTTCTTGTTTATTTTTGTAATATCGTCATCCGAGAACCAAGAGGCCGTATGTCTATTTTTTGTGTTTCCAAGAAAATCAAGTTTTAAATTTCGATTCGCGAAGACTTTCTGCCAGAAAGTTCGACTGACTAATTAAATATTCCTAAAATTTTATTGGTGTGGTATATTTATGGAAAACACACTTCTGAATATTTATTGAAATGGAATAAAAAAACACAAAATGTTGACTTACGGTTCTTCTCTGACGGCGATATCTACTTTTCAAAGTTTTAACTTCGCTTTTGCATATAATTGTTTTAAGACTTATTTTTACTTTAATATTAACTGAATTGAGTTTGTGTTTGAACTGAGTTTATATACTTAAAAGGAATACTATAAAAATACATTGACTCGGAATTAAAATAAAATTTATATTTCAGTTTTTATTATTTTATTGTGATATCATTTCGTTACTTCTTGTAAGCCAATATAATATATATGTGTAATTTAGTATATGACTCTAAATGACAATGTGTAGTATATGATATAAATAACATGCCTTATTTGAATTATTTAATTGCGCCCGGCTTTATACATAGTACGTGAAGACCTTAATGGACGGAATAAATCAAGCATAAATATACTTACAAAAAATCAAAATATTTATAACGTCTAGAAAAACACAGTTTAGTGTATATAACTATAGTGTATATAACTACAGTTTAGTGTATAACTATAGTGTTGCTTTTAGCGCAACACTAATTTGATTTTTTTTTATAACGGTTTTGTCGCGCAAAAAGAGCGTATATATATAGCCATTGATTAAATGCAACAATTATGTCGAAAAAAATTCTGCAAAAGTGTCGCATTAAATATTTGTATACATATATATATATATATATATATACATACATACATACATACATACATACATACATACATACATACATACATACATACATACATACATACATACATGCATCCATACATACATACATACATACATACATACATACATACATACATACATACATATATTTAATACAGATAACTTTATTTTAATGTCATTTTAGCTACGTATCTGACAATTTGAGATCGATGCTTTTTTTAATGCTTTATTTTGGAATATCTGCACAATCGTGGCCACAATTAGCTGGTTTTCTCCCCAACAAATCATATTTTCTTATTAGTTAAATTTCAGTCAGATATTTTATTACTGGAGTGAGAAAAAGAAAAAAGGAATCTAAAGCTTTTAAAATAAGAGTTTGATCTCTGATGTTGCAGTTTCCATTTGAACATTAAACGCTACTTCGCATCAAAAGTTGTTTATATGTAGCTGTGAGTTGTTGGCATTTGATATTGTTATTAAACATTCTTGCAGATCTCACAGCTAAATAAGATTTCACAGCAAAATAAAGAGCTTGTTAGGTGGTTTTTACTGAGCTTATATGTTAAATTATTTTATGATAAACTTTCTTTTTCTTCTCAGTTGAGATATATATTTTAAACAGATTTAACTGCTACCAAATATCTAATGAAATCAGTTTATAGACTATCCAAGATCATTTGCGTACCAATTAATCTCTTTAAAACTAATGATATAATTATATGCCATGTCAAGAAATGGAAAACAAAGAGTCTTGTTACATGCACACAATGCTGACTTGTATCCATTGGCAAATAGGTTTCTTGAGTTTAATATGTCATGTAATCAATCTTTTATGCAAATAAATTCATCGGCATACATATAGTTTAATAATATAAAAAAGTGAGCTAACTATAACATATATCCACAGTTCTTAACAGCAGGTAAACAGTATATATAACTTTAGTTAAAGAGATATTACAAAGAGGTGTTTTTAATATTTGTATATTAAAAATTTAATAATACATTTTTTTTCAAACAAATGTATTTTTACATACATTTTCATCACCGATTGTATTGAGTGATTTTCCTTTAAGTTATAAAAAATGATTATTTACTTTTTATTTGTTTTAAAAGTTATTATACATAACTATATAAGTTATACACAGTGGTATATAGAGTATTTTGATCATATAATTTATACAATAATAGCATTTAAGTATAATAAAAGTCTAGAAGAAGCTCTGTTTTTGTGTACTTACAGCACTCAGTTAATAGTTCATTCAGCATTTGTACAAATTGGTATCTTGCATAAAAAATATAAAGTAGTAAATTGTAGATAGACATGATTGCTGCTATTTACCATGCTGTTATGAATAATAAACAGCAGCAATTAATAACCTTCTAGCATACAGCATTGGGTTCTTATTTTTAGTTATAGCATTCTTTGTTAGAACTAAAAGACACATAAATTATACATAAAACTAAAATTGTAAATTTCACTAATGCCATTTAATAATAAATTCAATTATTAAAAAAAAAAAAAAACTTTTCTCTAATAATTATAAAACTCGATTGTTTGTTTTTTGTTTTTTTTTTTGTTTTTTTTTTTGTAAATGTATTAGTCTTATTTCATTATTTTCTTTTGTATTTTGATAAAGTAAAATTGAATGTATATCGGTTTCACTGCTAAGAACTAAAATCGCCGCCATCTTGGGAGGCCAATTTTGGTTTCAACTTTTTTCGGAAAAAACAATAGAATCCGCTATCCAGTTATATTTTGAGATCAGTGGGTGATAACATTGCGAAAAATGAGAAAATCCTTAAAAAAATTATAATAATTAAAAATGTTATAATATAAGGAAATCATTATAAAGACGTTTCAAAAAAATAATATAATTTTTATATGAACTAATATTGACGCCATGCATTATTACGGCTAAGTTTCCTTTTTTTTTGGAATTAAAAATTGATTTGCTATTGACTGTTGTTCAGTTAGGTTATGCAAGAAAGTGGCGAGGTTAGCTGTATGAGAGCTAGAAAGATTGAATCACGCAAATAACAACATAAAGTAAAGTTACGTAAAGATTTATTCTAATCACTTCTTTACCTTTTTTGACTTTAAAATTTGAATTCTATGCAACTTTTTTTCATAATAAAGTATAGAAAACTTTAACACGGAATTTATGCCGTTTATTTTTTATTTTTACTAAATTTCGACATGCTTATAAACGTACATACAATATAAACATACAATGATATCACAATTTACCCATGCTTAAAACAAATTACTAATGCCTAAAAACGTAATGTACTGTAATGTACTAATGTACTAAAAACATTACCAAAGCTTAAAACATTTTAATAAAATAGTTACTTATTAATTAACAATAATTGATTTTTTACCGAAGCTATATACATATATAATATAATAAGGTATAACTGTAACAACTGTTTTAAACAGTTGCGAAGTGCAATAACATAAGATATTGCACTGTAACAGCTCATTTTGTCTTTTGTTTGTGTTTTAACAAATGTATATATATATATATATATATATAATATATATATATGTATATATATATATATATATATATATATATATATATATATATATATATATATATATATATATATATATATATATATATATATATATATATATATATATATATATATATATATATATATATATATATATATATATATATATATATATATGTATATATAAATATATAAAATTGAACTTATTGCCAATCAAGATTCTTTACATGATTTTTTCTAACAAAACACTTTTATTTTCAATTTTTATTATCAAAGGTTACTTATGACAAGATTTTATCTTATTCAGGTTCTCCGGTCTTGTAACTATTATAAACAATGAAATGAACTTGTATTTAATATTTTTAAATATTTTATCGGAAATTTCCTTTTTATTGTAAACGGTTGCTTGAAAGAAAAAAAAAAAAAGGAAAAAAAAAATGTATGTATGCAAAAATAAGTTAAAGTTACTTAATCTAGTTATGCAAATTAAAAAAGTTTACAAACTTTAGTTGACAAACTATATGAGAAAATCTTATATATTTTTATATATGTTTTTTTGTAGTATGAAAAAAAATATATTTTTCTCAATCAACAAAATGGAAATCAAATGTTGCCAATTTAAAGTAATGTTTTTTGTATTACTTTTTTTTTTTTTAATATTGAAATTGTTTCTTATTAATTATTTGAGTTTGAGTTATTATTGAGAAAAATGTTATCAAATATTTTGAAAATATTAGCCTATAGTTTTATATTAATCTAATAATATTATGTATTTAGTTTCATATATACTAGCAGTAAGCAACCCGTAATACGCGTTGATAGCAAATAAAATTAAAAAAAAAAACGCCTATAGAAAAGCCTAGAAACTACTTTAAAATAGAAAAGCCTAGAAAATGAAATAATTCGACTAATAATATTAAATTAGCGTATTAATATTATCAGATGTAGAAGCAAATGGTCACAAGCAGCCGCAACAGGCCAATAATAATAAGTTCCTTTGGGTAATGCGTTAGAGTCTTACCCTTGAGTATTGTTCTTAGTCTTGAGTAGTTATTAATAACAGTTAAATAAAAATAAATATAATCATTTTTCTTTCTCAAACTATAGTTTCAGGAAGGTGTTGATCTATGCATCATTGTTGATTACGAATTGTCATAAAACAATATTAATTTTGCATAAAATATCTCGGTAAAGAAAAATTAAAGCTTTATCAAGTCGATCCAAAAATAAATTGTTCTGGTGAAAATGCTAAAGAAAGATACCCCAAACAGTATTGTATTGTAGTAGAAAAATTAATTAAGCCATTGTAAAATACTTTGTTGACATAGCTATAAACGAGATCAATCAGATGGAACTTATATAAAATGGAAATATTTAAGCAGTTGAACTGTGCGCAGTTTTATATTGTATTGTTTTATCACTTGTTGAGCATCAATGTAATTGTTGACTTGTATTTGTATTTAATTTGTAAATAACAGGAAAAAAATCAAGTCTATCAAATTTTTATAAGTATAATAATATTCATAAAAATTTGATGGTCCATCTATATTTTTCTAATCAATCTAACTCTAATTTGATATCTAATTCTAAATTGACTATCTAATTCTAATTTGATAATTTTATCTAATCTGTAATACTTTATTTTTTTATAATTTTCAACTTGTGTTGCAGTATGGAATTCTTGCATAAGTAATTTGTTGTATAATAGGGGAGGATGGGTAGGAGTGAGCCAAGGGTAGGAGTGAACCGTTGATCCTACAGCTAAAACGGGAAATGAAAAAGACTCAAAATTTTCAACAAGTAGTTGCATACAAGTTGTTGTTAACACAATCCAATTTTTTTACCCCTTCTTGGTGTGGGTGTCTGCGTTAACGTTATCATCAACCCTTTTCTGTGCAAAAGTAAATTTTTTATATTTTTTGAAACTTCTTTAATGAGCATTCCGGTTGTTTTGAGACATTAGATAGTGGTTGAAAATTTACTAATAAAACATGCAGTTTTTAGAACAAAGTATTTTACATGCACAAACCACGTACTTATTGAACATTTAATGTTTTAATTCAGTTGCACAGCTTGGGGAGGAATGAGCCATTCCATCACGGGTAGGAGTGAACGGCG